TTGTATTCTGAAATGCAGGTTAAAAATAGTATGTCAAGAACTGGTCATAGTTTAATTACCTGGAGTACACAAATTTTCCAGTTATTTCAGTCTAGAATACAGTTCCAGAAATATGCCTAGAAAACAGTAAATTTTCCTGGGAAAGATTCAGTCAGCAGTGGTTTTTTACTCTTCAGCATAGCCAGCCATGCAGATTGCTACAGGTTTTTCTTATAAACTCTGTGCTTCTGTTAATGTAAGATACATCTGTTCTATGATAATTTACCAGCATAGTACTATCTGCAAAGTCTTCTTTGTAGATAGTAGACTCAGAATAGGGAGTTCCTTTTTTTCTTCTTTTTCTCATAGTTTTTCTTACTCTTCCTGATATTCCCTTGGCATTTTTATGCCTAATGTGTTGTGAAATCTAATCAATTGCAATAATTAAAACATATTCTATGTGGAATGATACATAACTTTAATTACATAACAGTGTCTCAGACAAACAAAAGTTTTAGATTCTTACATTAGAAGAAACCAAACTACTGTACTTTGCTGTAATTTTTTTCACCAAGAACAGACTCTGCTTATAGATGAAACAGATAAAACACTAAAAATTCCAGGCTTGATAGACTGGAATATACTGCTATTTTTTTATTAAAATAGCTGGCAGACTTCAGGCTTGTGTGTTACGAGCATGTGAATGAATGGCTGGAACAAACAAATAGATGGTTGTTTTCAATAAAACACCCTGGGTGGCAACTCTGAACAGGAAAGTTTTGTGTTCAAGACCTATAAAATGCATGTAGTTTTAGCGATGTCACTGACTCACCTCTTTTCTAGGATCTTTTGTGTGCTGGTGAACGTTTAGGCATGAAGTAAATTCCTCATGACAGAGTGAAATGCCAGTGTTTCCTAATTAAAATCAGTTTGATGACAATTGGACAGATACGTTCTTACAGTTTTCTTTTTTTAATGAACAATGCATGTCAAGTAATTGGGTCCTGGTATTACACAGCTTTTTCCAATGCTGTTATTTACATTCTGATGCCAGCCCCAATGGAGCTCCATCAGCTTGACAGAAACTGCAAGCTCAACAATTCAGACCTCTGTCTTGTTCATTTGTTCTTTGAATTCTGAAAATATAATTATGTTATTGAGTATTTTAGAGAATTCAAGCCTGCATTAGCTATTTCACAGTGATTTCAGTGACATGGATAACCTAATATACCTGATTTAAGCTTGTAGTTTTATTCCAGTGAAATCTGATACAGGCACCTTTCACAGTTTGAAAGGCAATTATTGCTCTCTTATAGTGTTGCCCTTTGTCTGTTTCTGTCCTAGCTACAGGACATCACAAATTTCGTTAATTAGCCCTGCCCAGGTATGCAGTGTTATTGCCCTCATTCTTTACTAAGATTGTCTTCTTTTGCTGATATGGATAGCAGAAATTTTAAAGGGATGTATAGCCGTCCTAAATAGGATAGATTAACCTAAGGATGTTTCTTGAATGAACTATATGAAGAATGAAGACAGGTGGTCCACAACTCACTTGGCAGGAAAAATTAACAGATCTTATTTCTCCAATAAATATGGTTAAAAAAAAAAAAGGAGAGAGAGAGAGAATCAGCACTGGTAGGGAGAAATACAAATAAATGTGTTTGGAATAATTCAGAATATTAAAGGTGATACCTGTTCTGTACAATTAGTAGCTGAAAAAGGCCAAAGATAGCATATAACTACAAGATGATGCCAAATACAGACCGTCACACCATGACCAATTTCAGTTTGTGCTTAAAGAGCTGAATTTTTGATTAGTAACCCGCAGATAAAACAAGTTTACTGATATTTTCTCAAAGTAAATACACCCCACCTACAGTGGGGTGGCCTTTCCATCTCTGTAGCCATTATCACCAGTGACCAATTTCTCTGCATACACCCTTCACACTTGCATTCTACTTAGCTGCATTTCAGTCTTCTTCAGTGTTCCAGCAATTTTGTCAGACTTAGTGTGTTCTTGGAACATCACCAAGTGGATTTAACAGTACCATTTCTGAGAAATGAGAGTAAATGTTTTTATGAATGAGCTTCAACTGAGCTTTAAAGTAGGGAAAGGGGTCAACAAAACCTCTGCCTTGGACTTCCAGAGGGCAGACTTTGGCCTGTTCAGAACACTGGTTCAGAGAGTTCAGAAACATTCTTAATAACAATGGGGTCCAGGAAGGCTGGACATACTTTTAGAAGGAAATCTTAAAGGCACAGGGGCAAGCCCTCCCTCTGTGTCAAAAGACAAGCTGGCAGGGATCACCCTGGCTGAACAGGGAGCTTTCATAGGAACTCAGGAAAAAGAGAGAGTATAACACCTTTGGAAGAAGAAGCAGGCAAATCAGAAAGAGTACAAGGATGTCATTAGGCCATGTAGAAATAAAATTAGAAAGGAGAAGGCTCAGCTAGAACTCAATCTGGCCATTGCTGTGAAAGATAATGAAAAGTGTTTTTATAAATACATCAACAACAGAAAGAGGGATATGGAAAATCTCCATCCTTTATTGGATGCCGGAGGGAACATTGTCACCAAGGATGAGGAAAAGGCTGATGTACTTAATGTCTTCTTTGCCTCAGTCTTCAACAGAAAGACCATTTATCCTCAGGGCAACTGGCCCTCTGAGCTGGTAGACAGGGATAGGGAAAAGAATAAACCCTCTGCAATCCAGGAGGAATCAGTGACCTGCTGAGTCATTCACAAGTCTATAGGGCCAGATGGAATGCACCTGAGAATGCTGCAAGAACTGGCAGAAGAACTTGCCAAGCCACTCTCCATCATTTATCATCAGTCCTGGTTAACTGGGGAGGTCACAGAAGTCTGGAGGTTATCCACTGTGACACCCATTTACAAGAAGGGTCAGAAGGATGATCCAGGGAACTACGGGCCTGTGAGCCTGACCTCAGTGCCAGGAAGGTTATGGAACAGATCATCTTGAATGGGATCACATGGCATGTACAGGACAACCAGGGGATCAGGCCCAGCCAGTAGAGGTTTAGGGAAGGCAAGTCCTGTTTGACCAACCTGATCTCCTTTTATGACCAGATGACCTGGTTCGTGGATGAGGGAAAAGCTGTGGATGTTGTCTACCTGGACTTCAATAAAACCTTTGATACTGCCTCCCACAGCATTCTCCTGGAGAAAGTGGCAGCCCATGGCTTGGACAGGTGTACTCTTTGCTGAGTTAAGAACTAGTTGGATGTCCAGGCCTGGGTAGTGGTGGTGAAGGATACTACATCCAGCTGGCATCCTGTCACTAGTGGGATTTCCCAAGGCTCATTATTGAGGCCAATCCTGTTTAATATCTTCAACAATGAACTGGATGTAGGGATCGAGTGCTCCCTGAGTAAGTTTGCAGTCAGCACTATGTTGGATGGGAGTGTTGATCTACTGGAGGGTAGAAAGGCTCTACAGAGGGATCTGGACAGGCTGGATTGATGGGCTGAAGCCAACTGTATGAGGTTCAACAAGGCCAAGTGCCAGGTCCTGCACTTTGGCCAGAATCCCATATAGTGCTACAGGCTTGGGGAACAGTGGCTGGAAAGTGACCAAGTGGAAAAGGACGTGGGAGTGCTGCTTAGATGCCATTTGAGCCCAAGCCAGTAGTGTGTCCAGGTCGTCAAAAGGCCAGTGGCATCATGACTTGGATCAGAAATAGTGTGGCCAGAAGGATGAGGGCAGTGATTGTCCCCCTGTACTTGGCACTGGTGAGGCCACACCTCAAGTGCTGTGTCCTATTCTGGGCCCCTCACTACAAGAAAGATGTTGAGGTGCTGGAGCAAGTCCAAAGAAGGTCAACAGAGCTGGGGATGGGACTGGAGCACAAGTCCTATGAGGAGTGGCTGAAGGAGATGGAGTTTTTCAACCTGGAGTAAAGCAGACTCAGAGGAGACCTCATCACTCTCTATAGCTACCTGAAAGGAGGTTGCAGCAAGGTGAGGGGTTGGCCTCTTTTCCCAGGCAACCAGTGATAGGACAAGAAGAAGTGGCCTCAAGCTGTGCCAGAGGAGGTTCAGCTTGGACATCAGGAAGAATTTCTTCACTGAAAGGGTTGTCAGGCATTGGAACAGGCTGCCTAGGGAATCACCATCCCTTGATGTGTTCAAGAAATGACTAGCATGGCACTTAGTGGCGTGGTGGCTTTTGGTCAAAGGTTGGACTTGATGATCTTGGAGATATTTTCTGACCTTAATGTTTCTAGGATTCTATAATTCTATGAAAATAAATAACAAAATTTATCAGAAAACCTATATCCTTAGGCAAATCAAAACTTCATTTCTAGGAAACAATTTTGTACTTACGCATTTTGATAATGATGAGAAACTGAGTTCTCCTTCATGCTACTTTCTTTTTAACATCTTGCTCTCAACCTAATTCAGGGCTAATACCTTCAATTCTTGTAGCATCTGAAATTTTTTTAGATATGACAGTTAGGCAGGACTAGTCTCCTGAACAATGATTCTTGTTTATTCTTCTTAACTTTGACTTTCAGCTCGTAAATTTATGCTTCTCTAGAAAGGTGTGCACTATGTAGTACTGAATTAACAGTTTAAACACAGTCATTCTCAATCAATTCTCTGCACTTTGTAAAGTTTTACATAATTACAATTAATGCAGAAAATTAATAATGTTCATCACATTAGCAGGAACTATATATTCACTTGGTAACATGCAATAATAAATATCACCTCCTACTGTAATTTTGAAATGGTAAGACCAGTCATGGCTTGCTTTCTGAAATGAATTGGTTTACTGCAGGCAGTAAAGCAATCAGGTTTTGACCATGTTTAAGATGATTCTAATGTTTTCTCTCTGTGCAAAATTCAAAACAATAAAAAAAAATAATAAATGTAGCAGCCAAAGCAGCTTCCACCATTCTGTGTTTATTTGACACATGCACATTTGAAAGGATTTAAGCAAGCCCTGACAAGTACATTTCTATCAGTCTAACCAAAATATTGTTTATTTTGTTTTACAGATTTTGGCCATTGTATCCATTCTGTTCATCGTACTGTCCACTATTGCTTTGTCTCTTAACACATTGCCAGAGCTGCAAGAAATAGATGAATTTGGGCAGCCAAATGACAACCCTCAGCTAGCGCACGTTGAAGCTGTGTGTATTGCTTGGTTTACCATGGAGTACCTTTTGCGTTTTCTGTCCTCACCAAATAAGTGGAAGTTCTTCAAAGGCCCATTAAATGTCATTGACTTGCTGGCTATCTTGCCATACTATGTCACCATTTTCCTCACGGAATCCAATAAAAGTGTCCTGCAGTTCCAAAACGTCAGACGTGTGGTTCAGATATTTCGTATTATGAGGATCCTAAGGATTCTTAAGCTTGCCAGACATTCAACAGGCCTTCAGTCTTTAGGTTTTACACTCAGGCGGAGTTACAATGAATTAGGCTTGTTGATATTATTTTTAGCCATGGGAATAATGATATTTTCAAGTCTTGTATTCTTTGCTGAAAAGGATGAGGATGCTACAAAATTTACAAGTATCCCTGCATCATTCTGGTGGGCAACAATCACTATGACTACTGTAGGATATGGTGACATTTATCCTAAGACCTTATTAGGTAAAATAGTTGGAGGACTTTGCTGTATCGCTGGAGTGCTGGTCATAGCCCTGCCCATACCAATTATTGTGAACAATTTCTCAGAGTTTTATAAGGAGCAGAAAAGACAGGAGAAGGCAATTAAGAGGAGAGAAGCACTTGAGCGAGCTAAAAGAAATGGCAGTATTGTCTCCATGAATCTTAAAGATGCCTTTGCTCGCAGTATGGAAATGATAGATGTAGCAGTAGATTCAGGTAAGCTTGGAGAAGCAGTCAGTCCAAAGGAGACATCTGATGACAACCACCTCTCCCCAAGCCGGTGGAAATGGGCCAGAAGGACAATGTCTGAAACAAGCTCAAACAAGTCTTATGAGAACAAGTACCAAGAAGTTAGTCAACAAGACTCCCATGAGCAATTAAACAATGCTGCAGCATCCTCCAGCCCTCAGCACCTCAGTGCCCAAAAACTGGAGATGCTGTATAATGAAATTACTAAAACTCAGTCTCAGCCTAACCTTAATGCTGGTTACCAAGACCAGTCTGCAAAGCCACCCATGTATGAAGAAGAAATAGAAATGGAAGAAGTTTCAGGTCAGAGAGATCCGTTACCAACTGGACCTACGGACATCATAACGGACATGAGAAGCACATCCAGTATCGACAGTTTTGCCAGTTGTGCAACTGACTTCACAGAAACAGAGAGGTCTCCCCTCTCTCTGTTTCCTGGCTCTCACTTGCAAATGAGATTTCCAACTGATACTGTTAACCTGGAAGAAAACCAAAGAGCGAGGAGTTCTCAGTTTATACCATTTGCAAAAGACAGAGGATTTTCTCCAACTGACATCACCTTTGACTATAATCCAATCAACAGAGCTGTTATCAGTGATGGCAGTGGGTCCCAAACTGTTTTACATGGTCATTTGCATTTTGACACTTCCATGGAAAGCCCCAAAAGTTCCCTGAAAGGTAGCAACCCATTAAAATCTAGATCCCTTAAAGTTAATTTTAAAGACAATAGAGGTGGTGCTCCACAAACTCCACCAAGCACGGCAAGGCCACTGCCAGTGATAGCAGGAGCAGACTTCACACAGGCCACCCCCCAGCACATCAGCACCATTCTCCTAGAAGAAAATTCCCCACAGGGTGAGCGACCTGTACTTGGTGCTGATGCATCTGCACTTTGTCAGGGACCTGTTAAAAGATCATCCCCTCTCTTTCCCAAGCAAAAAATTTTCACTTTCCCTTCAAAAGAGAGAAGGAGCTTCACTGAAATAGACACTGGAGAAGAAGAAGAGTTTATGGAGTTACATGGTATGAAACATGAAAAACAACAGGATATCAAGACAAATTGCTGTGGGGACAAACGCAGTGACAGCAACAATTTAACAGAGGAGCCACAGGTCAGCTCTTCACCCAAAAGCTTGAGCCACAACTGTACTCAAGACATTTACCATGCTGTGGGTGAGGTAAAGCCAGACAGTAACCAAGAAGGTCACAAAATGGAAAACCATTTATTTGCCCCAGAAATTCATTCAAGTCCAGGAGAAACTGGTTATTGTCCCACACGTGAAACTAGCATGTGACTAGTTACAGAAGCAATAAAAATACCTTTTCATAAAACACTGTTAGTAATGCCTATGAACTAAAACATGGAAAGCCTCAACAAAAGTGCATAAAATGTTATTTTTGCATGGCATGAAGAGTTGTTTAGTTTAAATACTGTTTAATTTAAAAAAAAAAAAGACTGCTTTTTGTAACAAACTGAAAAAAAACGGAAAAAATTACTCAAGAATGGTGAATAAAATAAAGAGAGCTCTGTTAGGAGCCAGTGTTCTGCAACATCTGACATTTTTGATCCTTTCACTTATGATTGTAGACAGGTTTTGAACTCTTTTAACTTTTTTTTTTCTTGGTTACAATGAATTTTAGAATTTGCACATGAAAGGATGAAATGTCAATGCATGTGTTCATAAAGATGTGAAACAAGGTGCTTTGAGCTTGCAAAATGCATATATTTGTAAATAGTTGGGGGTTGGGGGTACAGCTACTGTTAAAAAGGATTTATGGAAAAAGCATTTCCTGGGACACAGGTACTTCCTTCACAGCGTGCTGCCTGGAGGTTTTGTACAGACTTATGTTGCAAAATTGCAACTTCTACTTAAAGCGTCTCACGTATTTTGCTTTCTGTTAAAAAGCTCATGAGTATATCTGTTAATTAATGACTACAGTATTTTAGTTTATCTGTGCTGTAAATCATGATAGTTTTTTTATTTGCATAACTTCAGTTATTGCATTTGTCAGTTTAATTAATGGTCCTGAGGAAAAGCAAAGATTTAATGACCAGAACTTGAAGCATTGGATATTTTTATATCAAACTGCCACCATTTCATAACTGAAGAAAAAGTTCCATTTTAAAATTTACACACCATAGTTATTTCTGTGGCAATAAATAGTGCCAAATGGCTATAGAGATATATACAAAAGTTTTCAATCTCTTGGAATATAATTTGGGATTAAAAAATATTTTCCACATTCACTTTTTTTCCTTTGATTTAACACTTTTTGCTTCTACGTGGTCTTTGAGCTCTTTCCTTTTGTTTTACATGCAGTGCTCATACTTCAGTAATGGCAATGTTGTTGAAGCCATTGTGGTGTAAGGACATAAGAGACAAGTTTTGTAGGGGGAAGTGGTACCTTTTGTTGTTATGAATCATATAGCTGAAGAAAAACAGGCTTCAAGTATATGTGATTTGCCCCAGGTCTTCCATACCCCAAAGCTTGTCTGTGGTTTTGAGTTCAGTGATTTGAACTGACAGAAGATATCACTTGACTCACCAACTTTGCCTCAACCCATCCTTCCATTGTTGTTCCAAATTGGAGTATAGGCTTTTTGCTATACTTAAATAAAGGAAAATGTCAATCATTCCACTGACAACTACCAAAGCATCTTTGGTTTCTCTGACTTCTCCAGCTTTGTAAAAGAAAGATGCTGAACCAAAGCCTTCATTACAAAGTACCCCTCTAACCGCTGTCTGAAAAAAAGATATTTTTTATTTTATCCAGCATCCTTAGCTTCCTATGCTATAATATAAAAAAAACTTATAGATTGCTTTAATTCCCAAAATAATAAAAAGCTTATTCAATTCATTAATTCTAACCATAAGCAAACGTATGCAGTTACACAGGCCCATCCTGCAAAATATTCCCCTTTTTTTTTCTTAGGAAGCCTTAAAAGCACTTTAGACCAACCAATGCATGGTTTGGAACATCAGGCTTCTACTTACCATAGTGGATCTAGGTTAATTTTTACTCATCTGTCATTTTCTGTCACTTAAATAAGTAGCAACCAGGCACCTAATGCATTTAATGTAAAGGAGCAATCATTTTTCTTGCAACATTGCCCTTTGATTGAAATGGCTGGACTCATGTCACAGACCTCACTCAAGCCAGCCCCATGGAAAAGAGGCAAGTTTGAAGAGCCCCAAAATAAGGATCCTGGTGACTGGGCCTAACAATGAGCATAGCACTATCATTTGGTTAAAAAAAAACATTTTCTGTATTTCCATAAATTTTCTAATGTCTGTAACAAGGTAATATTGAACTGTCTCTTCAGTCATTTGAATATCTGGGAATATAATGAGGTTTTTTCGACAATGTCTGGTCATTAATTCTCAAAATAATTTTTTTCTTTAGTTGCAGTTCATTGCAACTTGTTGCTGTATTCAGTTTTGTGTATTTATATGGCATTCTGCGTAACATTTTTCAATCATGTTGTCTCACTGTCCCAAAATTTAGCTCTTGATGTTTTATAGTCATTAATCTTCTATATTTATTTTTTAGTTCCTGGATATTTTCAGTGACTGAAACCAAATGCCAGTCAATTTTTATATGCCTGAAGTGTTGGTTTGTATTTTCTATGTGCAGTTTTATGAAATCACATGGGCCTGTTCAATCTGCCTTTACATCCTAGTGAGCTATTGAAGTCCAAATTAAGACCAAATGGGACCTGGTTCCATACTCTGGATCCACAGAAAATTCTCTTTCAAGATAATGATGGTGTTCTGGCAAGATTGAGGTTTGTGTCCTTCTTCTCCCAGGTGACCCTTACACTTTGGAAAAGCCCCCTCGGACCTGTGCCACTTGATGGAAAGGGAGGAGTCCAGCCATAGGGATCATATTGCAGGAACAGATTTGATTCCTTAAGCTCTTCTGAGCTAAACTTTATGCAAAGTTTATTCTGCCCTATTAAAATCACTAAAAATTCGAAAGTGGTAAAATTAAGGCCTCAATTCTTGTGCAGATGAATTTCCCGTCAAACCAATGGGAGTCTGGTGGAAAAAGAGACTGACTGAAATATAAATGAGGATGGCAAAACTCTCTCCCTCTTGATGAAAATCAACAGGAGCTTTAACTATATAAATCAGATGAAAGACCAGGCCCTTATAGGCCACTGTATTTTGAATGTTTTCAGAGAAGCACATTTATTTTGAAGCAAAAGAAATATAATTCACTTTATTAACAGATGATTTTTTTTTTTTTTTTTAAATCTTGGAAGCAAAGTGATTGAGCTTTGGAAGTACTTTTGGTATAATTTCATTATATACTTTTGACTATGCTGAATAATATTTCCAGAAGCACAGTTTTAGACATATAGTTTTTCCAGTCTTGACTGCATGTACAGGATCCCATTTCTGGATACCTAGCTCGTGCATAATTCCTGATTAAAACATCTACTTGAGCAGTTGCAGGACTGGACTTAGATTTCAATCCAGTACAGCAGGTGTAAGAAGTGCAATCCAGGAACATTTCATTCATCATGAATTGATATGCAGCAAATTATGCAAAATTACACAAGTATATTTTTCTGGTTTTCTAAAACTTTGAAGATATTTCAGACATATTACCCATTCACCACAGTAAGGGGAGAATGTGTTTGAGTTCTGGAGTCAGTCTCCAATTTCAGCTGTGTGATTTCAAAACAACTTAAGGAGTCTTAGGAAGAAGTGACTCCCCTGTGCACCTGAAAGGGGTCTGATTCCTCATATCACTGGAAAATAAAGAATGTTCAGGGAGATAGTTTTGCAATTAATCTATTTTTATATTTTTTATGAACTGCAGAATCCTGAATCAAAGTTTTAATTCCTTTTCAATGATGAAACCAAATGCACATATTTAAAAATGTTCACAGAGTAATTAGAACAGTTTTTGAGTAATAGTCACATTAATTCAAATCTGGGTGGGATGGGGGCAATAATATATCGCACAAACTGCAAAGGAAGTTCCTACAGGAAAGCTGTTTACAGGGGAAGCATACAGTGTAATGTAAAGAATGTAACATGGTGTAGGAAGTTTTTGCACTACAGAATTTATATGAAATACACTTTTTTAAATGAAAACACAAAAGGCCTTTTAATGCTACATTGTCTAGAACATAGGAGCCTCTGTGCTAACGCAGCAATCTGATGCACTGTGTCCTCACTTCACAATTGGTCTCAAAATTCAAACATTATTCATTTTAGAGAGGTGATATCTGATCTAATACTAGAGCAACTGACTTGAAGAGCTTTTTAGCACACTATTACATAACCCAAAGTCTGTATAGGCAGTTGTATTTTTACCTATAACATTCATAAATCAAATTGACAATTGGATTCTGGAGTCATTTCCTAACAGGTAACACCTGGCAACATATTTGTATTCCTTGGAAAACAAGTTCTTTTAAAAGCAGACCTCTTCCCCTACATGTTGACTGAGCTTCTGTTTCCTTCAAGGTTTACCTTCAAATTATTTAATTAACTCCTTCAACCTCTAAACCACAGTCCAGTACAAAACCAGTTGTCTTTTTGAAGCCCTATTGCAAATATATTCAGACTAGTAAAAATATCCAGGGCTTACCTAACTGGCTTTTTCATTCAAATAGCTTTTGAATCACTTGGATAGAAAATAAATCTTAATATTTTGATCATGCAAAAAATATTTTAAAAGCAAAAAAATGCAATATGCCTTTTTCTTTCAAAATAGCCAGCACAGATTGAGCAAGAAATGCAAACACAGCAAAGGGGGAAGAAGGGCCGGAAACTGTAAGTAAACAAGGCATATTTTAGTAAACTATGTAAAAAAGAGATATAATAAATCATATATACAATACTTCTTGTTCACACTTAACGAGGAAGAATGTCAGTAGCAAAAGATTTAATTCCAGTCCAACTCCATCTTAATTTTTATCCTAGAACCAACAGGTCTCTACTGAGGTTTTCAGTGATGCTATTACCCACTCACCTGCCACATGAACATCCGATGTGTAATCATTTTTCAGACTTTCCTGAAAAAGAAGTTACTATGTATTGCTATCTTTGTTGATCTTTGGATCTCTTCCCATTGCCATCCAAATACCAATCTTCTCTTCTTCTTGGGAGCAGTCAGAAGGCAACACACCCAAGAAGATGATAAGAGTGTCTTGTCAGGAAAGTGTTTTGGTAGTCTGGTGCAAATAGCCAGATGAACTCTGTTGCATTTGAACCAAGGAACAAGAACTGATTGTCACTTCTTCCTGTTATTGTTCTAGCCATACCAGTCCTTCAGTGTCCCCCACAGTGTCCCCATGCTCCATGCAAGATGTTTCAGTGTTCTTGC